GTGGGTCGTGGAATGGACACGAACCACACATTTTGAAGAATAGTGACGGAAACGTTAATATCCATTTTTTCTTCTTCAAGAACTTGGTCATGTCCATTCCACTTTAGATGACTCACATGCGGTACCCAAGGAGGTGGGTTTAGAGTTCATAGACATGCAGATAGCAACAGTACTCTTCCAAACTTAGCATCATCTCTGGCCTGTTGGGTGATGGTGTAGTGGGAGCAGAGAGTATGTACTAACAACAATAAAGCACAAAGAAAAAGCCTCAAAACACACTTCCCCCGATTTCCTATTTTCCATACCAAGACTACACTAACAGATTTAGCTGGACCAAAGTCACTTCCAGGAAAATATATTTTCTAACTCCTCATTTAACGTTGTAGTTATGTTCCTGAAAAATGAAACTAAGTGAAATGATGTTAAACGAATCTAATTTTCCCATAAGATTTAATGTAAATGCGGGGGTTACGTTCCAAGGAAATTTTTTGGGGGCAGACAAAAGGCATTATATACTGTACAGTACTGTACTGTGGTTGGGAGGTGCCCCTGGCTTACCCCACACAGGCACAGCCCGCTTCAGGCAAGGATGCTAGGAAGCACCTTGCACAGCGGCAGCTTCCACACAGAAGAACAGGTGCCGACTTTGCCAGGGGATACTCCAGGCCCGCCTCTTCCTGGCCCTGTTCCACCCCACCTGTTCCCACCCCCACTCCACCTCCTCTCCAGAATACGCTGCGTCCCTGCTCCTCCCCCTCCCTCCCAGCGCTTCCCTGCTGTCAAACAGCTGTTTGGTGGTGCTTAGGACTTTCTGGGAGGGAGGGGGAGAGCGGGGACACAGAACTTCCGCCTCCTCCCCATCCCTCCCAGAAAGTCCTAAGCGCCACCAAGGGAAAGTTGGTGCTCTTCCACAGAATCTTACAAGCAGTGGACAGAGCAGGCAGCCAAACGACGTTATAAGGGATCATTGCACAACTTTAAATGAGCATGTTCCCTAATGGAGCAGTGACGCAACTTTGAAACAATGTTAGGCAGGGGACGTTAAGTGAAGAGTTACTGTGTGTGTGCCTGTGCGCACACACAGCCTTTCTCTGCTTGCTGAAGGGTCTAAACAAACTGAATGTTGATACTACAGAGCTATATATGCTGAAGGTTTAGTCCCCCCATCAAACACGCCAATTAGTGATAAACCAAGTCCACAGAGCTACTTAAATTACTTATTTTCTCAGAGTCAAAATGTAAATTTGCACTGAAGCAAGAATTCAGAGCAATAGTATCAACTTAATTTCCATATACATATACATACACACACACACAATTTCACTATATAATTATAATTATATAGTGAAATTGTATATATGCACCCAGAACTCTGGACTATTGTAATATTTTACAAAATAAATAGCATTGGGTTTGTCCTGTCCCTACAGACAGGAAACAAGTGACCTGACTGTAAATTTATGCATTACACAAAGAAAAAAAAGTCACAAAACTTAGTCATCTCCTCCTTATGAACCACAAATTTATCTCTCCATCTCCTTCTTGTTACCACTATTAATATAGTAATTACTTTTGAATACCATCACAATAAAGAGTCTCCACCCACCCAAAAGCTGTCAGTTCAACATTTACATCTGGGGGAATTCTGCACCACTCCAAAATTCATGTCTAGTGCATAATTTTTCCCCCGTGCAGGAAATACATTCTTCCCAAGAATTGCTGCCGTTCCACTTTCACCCACCAGAGGCCACTGTGGCGCCAGAACAGCCAGCAGTACAAACCCAGCCACCTGTTCTGGCGCCACCGCAGCCTCTGATGGGCAAAAGGTAGAACTGCAGAATTCTGGAGCAGAATGATTTTCTGTTGGGAAAAAAAATTCTGTGCATGTGCAGTGGTGCATAATTCCCCCAGGAGTAGAAGATCATCACAGCACCCTGCCCATGGAGCCAGGTTAAGCCACACCGAGTGGGGTACATGGTGTTGCTGGGAGGTGGTCACAGACTGGGATTCAGAATGGCTAGTGGGGGGGGAGGAAGGGGAAGACTGGGCATGGGCCCAGGGGCTAATGGGGTGACAGCATTGTGCCAGGGGCTGAATGGGAGTGGGGGTGCAAGGCCGCAAGGCCATATGGGGACGGATGGGGAAGGGTGTGCGGGGACAGGGGCAGATATGTGACTGAATGGGAGAGGCTTCGGGTCAGCCAGGGTCTCCATAGGGGAGGCTCCCCAACTACCTAACAATCCCACCCCCACCAAATTCTGTTCCATACTTCTCTCACCCACACCCAACAACCCTCCAGGTTCATTCCAGGCTCTTCCCTCTCCCTCAGCCCGTTACCTCTGACTCCCCCAAGCCTTTGCACTGCTTCAGATGGGTGCAGGAAATACAGTTCTGTAGTGTAATTTAAATGAACTATTCAAAGTTCTGTATTAATATGCCTAGTAAGGAATCTACTTGTCAAAAAAAGTTATGAGAATCTTTTTTTTTTTGTCTGTATTGTTACAGACATACTTTTTGACAGGAATTTTGAAATAAATTACCAAAATAATTGAAACTTGCATGATTATATTGTGTTATTTTGATAAATAAAATATGTACAATTTTGCAAAATTTTAAAATATTGTGCCTAGAATTTTTTGTTGCAGAATTCCCCCAGGAGTAAACATTGGTCTCTCTCTAATGCTACTGAATTATTTTCTACTATATTACCATCTAGAAGCTTCATTCAGAGTCAGGGCTCCATTGAACTGGTGCTGTACAAACACACAGCATGAGACAATCCCTGTCCTAGGGAGATTACAAAAGGCAAGACACAACCACTTGGAGAACAAACTGAGCAACAGGTTAGGAAAATGAGGGTAACAGTGAGAGAAACAAGGTCATATAGACTAGCTGTGTGCATAATTGGCAGGTTCTGAGCACATTATTATATATTAGTTTTCTTGTTAGATATGAAACAAGAAAATGTATATGATCTAGTAACTCCTATTAGTCAAACCATTATTATTTCTGTCTTACCATCACTATAAACTTAATGTCTAAAGCAAAGCAGCATTATCTAGTAATCTGAATATAGGACTGGAATCTGAAGATCTGGGTTCTACTCCCAGCTTTGCCACTGACTTGGTGGCCTTAGACAGCTGAAAATCTCTGTTCACACTCTTCCCTGCAAAATTATGATAATGGCTACTTCATAGGGGCATTGTGGCTATAGTCATTAATGTTAGAAAAAAGTGTTTTTGAGACTTACATAAAAGAGGCATAAAAATGCAAAGCGACAACATATAAAATGGTGCTGCTTTCCTGATAAAACCATTTTTCTTCCCCTTGTTCTTTGTTCCTACCCACCCCCTTTCTGTCATTCAAACTTGCAATCTTGACTTGTGAGGAAAAAGTAAATATGGCACAAAACCCTAAAGTACTAAATAATAAATAAAACATGTAATACAAATAAATACTTTACAAGTTTCTTTCAGTACATGATCTGCAGAATCTCTCCCCTTCCGCTATGTCCCTTCTGCGAAGACTAGCCCATACTGGGGCTACTTCCTGCTTCAGCTGTTGCAGCCAATGAATATTCCACACACTGACCTTGACCTCCATTGAGTGCAATAACTTTTTATACATTCCAGGGTACGGACTGACATTTTAGGTGTTAAGTCCAACATCTGGGTGTTACTGAGGTCCTCAAAACCCCTTCTTACCCAATGCCTAATTCTGTAGACACTTCAAATCCTGGGTGCTTGAGTATTCTCTGTTGAAAGTCCCTAGACATTCAAATTTCTGCAAGTGTGTATGCACACAGATGCCTCAGTCTACGTGCGTGGGTACCTCTTTTATGCTTTAGCTTTCAAACTAGGCATTTCCCCACCAAACTCACCTGCAGGGCCTGATCTGGCAGGTGTGCTCAGGGCATGCCTAAACTCACGCAATTCTCCCATGGTACAATTCTCCCATGTCTGATGTGTAGAAGCAATCTGAAAACAAATTTCCCATCTCTCAGGTGAGTGCCCGAAGCACTGTACTATGGGATATTCTGGTGCAGAGTCTCAATTTTCCCTGTTGAAACTGTTCCAATGTCTATAAATGAATAAATAATTATGCATTCGGACAGAGGAGCAGAATGACTGTGCAGAGTAGCAGTTAGGGCATTCACTTGGGAGGTAGGAAATAAGTTCAAATCCCTTCTCCACATGAGGCAGAAGGACAATTTGAATAGCCATATATCATGTAAAGTGCAATGCCATTTATGGTGCTCTATAAATCAAACCTCCTGCAAAGGAAAATTGTCTGTCATTTATTTGGAATGTTAAAAGTGGACTATTAATATTTTTGTTTGTCTGCACCCATTAGGTAAGACAAGGTAGGTTTGTATAAATGTTGCCAAAGTTCTTTAGAGTCTGTAAAAAGAACAGGAGTACTTGTGGCACCTTAGAGACTAATAAATTTATTTGAGCATAAGCTTTGGTGGGCTACAGCCCACTTCTTCAGATGAATAGAATGGAACATATAGTAAGGAGATATATGTACATACAGAACATGAAAAGGTGGAAGTAGCCATATCAACTCTAAGAGGCTAATTAATTAAGATGAGCATTTATCAGCAGGAGGGAAAAAAAAAAACTTTTGTAGTGATAATCAAAATGGACCATTTCAGACAGTTGACAAGAGATGAGAGGATACTATCTATCTATTTCCCCATGTTAAGTATCCTCACACCTCTGTTAGTCTCTAAGGTGCCACAAGTACTCCTGTTCTTTTTACGGATACAGACTAACATGGCTGCTACTCTGAAACTTTAGATTCTGTGTTATTCTGAAAAGTATTTTTCTCACTCTAAGGAGTTTTGGTTTTTTCTCTTCTCTTCTTTTTTGGAGTGTGGATGGGGGAAAAAAGTTTTAATATCTTTACCATGAAGTAACAATGGACAGAAAATGATGTTTGAATGACATATGGCATGTTAGCTGCATATCTACATTTGTATGTACTTCAATACTCACAGCCCTGGTTGGATCACAAAAGTCTATCTTCAATCTCCCCATTGCTCTAATGATAGCAATAATGGACTGAATGGTATTACTGTAGACAACAGCTTTGTATTGTTTACATTCTTCTTCTGAATAACCAGCTTCATGGATAATCCTATGGAGGAAAATAATATTAAATCTTCTATTCAAATGCAAGCAAATAAATAATTTCAGTTATATCTTTTAACCATACTTACTTCATTTGCTTTACAATTGTGCTTTTCCCTGATTCTCCAGCTCCTGAAAAATAGAAGTGTAAAAATTATTAAAAGACATCCTTCTTGACTTCCCTTCGTTTCCAAAGCTAGCAGTTAAAAAGTCAGTTTTCACATTTCAAGAATTCCTTAACAACTGATATATTACTGAAGAATTTTAAAACACAATTGTTACAAGTTACCTTTTAACACCAGGCAGGAAGTTTAAATTACAATTTCTTGCTTTTGACACTTACAATAGGAGGAGATCTGAAATGCCTTTATATTCATAGCTATACTCCAATCAAGCCACAAAATCTTCTCATTTAAAAAACTTGTAGGAATTTCTAATGCAAACAAATGGCCAAATACATATGTGTAGAATCCACTAACTAAACCAGGGGTGGGAAAACTATGGCCCGCGGGCCAGATCCAGCCCTCCAGACGTTTTAATCCGGCCCTCAAGCTCCTATCGGGGAGTGGGGTCCGGGGCTGGGGGCTTTCCCCATCTCTTATCCGGCTCCAACGAATATGGGCAGTCAAGGGGCTCCACACGCTGCCCCCGCAGCTCCAATTGGATGGGAACCATGGCCAATGGGAGCTGCAGGGGTGACGCCTGTGGACGGGGCAGCGCACGGAACCATCTGGATGCGCCTCTGCGTAGGAGCCAGAGGAGGGACATACCGCTGCTTCTAGGAGCTGCTTGAGGTAAGTGCTCCCCAGAGCCTTCACCCTTGACCCCCTCCCATGCCCCAACCCCCTGTCCCACCCCGATCCTCCTCCCACCCTCTGAACCCCTCGGTCCCAGCCCCACCCCAGAGCCCACACCCACAGCCGGAGCCCTCACCCCCTCCTACACCTCAACCCCCAATTTAGTGAGCATTCATGGCCCGCCATACAATTTCCATACCCAGAAGTGGCCCTCGGGCCAAAAAGTTTGCCCACCCCAGAACTAAACACCAACAAGTTGACAACCTTTTCCCTCACATGTTTTCACAATACCTCCCCTGAAAGACAGTGTAATCAAAACATCATTAGTGTGACATCTAAAGGCTTGTCTATGCGGCCCCGCAATGCAGGCTATGGGTGTGTGAGTTGCAAAACATACTAAAGTGTTTACCAGAGCTGCCCCACGTAGACGAACTGAAAGACACAATGGGACCGCATTAACAAAAACTAAGTACACCTTTTAGTACACTATGTCAATCATTTCATTAGTCAGCTTCTGGCACTTAACACGTCTTTCAGCTTGACTTGGGCTAAAAGTTGTATGAGATTCAGTCTAAAAACAATTTATACTTTTAAAAAGTTATGAAAATCATTTGTGTAAGTAATTTGTTATTCATATGAAATATACAGCTATGAATGATTCCCTCTCCTCCATATGTAAGTAGTTTTTGGTTTTTTTTCTGTGCCTGGGACGGTACATTTTACCACAATCAGAGAGAGAGAGAGAGAGAGAGAGAGAGAGAGAGAGAGTGTGTGTGTACACGCACATACACACGCTACATACATATTCTCAGAGGTTCTTCTCAAGACTCATATGGGATGACCTTCATAACTCACTTGTAGTTTCACTACTCATGAATAATGCAGCCATCCCAGACTCCTATTGATAGAACCCTTATATGGTACCACATAATCACATTCCATACAGTCACAGATAGACATAATAAGTAAAGGAAGGGAGAGAAGGGTTCCCCAACACCACCAGCGAACTCTAGGGACAAATATTTCCCCACCTCAACTGACAGGAAGGGAGAGAGGATTGACTACATAAGTCCTCCAACTTTAGTATCAACCTCTAGTAAATATGTCTAATAAAGTTGGTGCCTCCTGCCTACCATACATTGGAAAGGAGAAGAATCTTTCTCCCCCATCCCATAATTCCATCCTACTTCAGGGCTTGTCTACACCAGCATATCTGCACTTGTGCAATCCTCTACTGTACTCATGTAAAAAGTGACAAACTGGGGCAAGTTGTACTAATGCAACTAACACTAGAGGTTTGCATGAGTGCAGCTACATCACTAAAAATAAATAAATAAAAACAACCAAAGAAAAAATATACCCACTATGTCAGAACCAAGTGTGCCATGGAAACACAGGGCTATGGAGGAGGACTTGAAACTTTTCTTGAGGGAATTTTCAATCTACAAAATCATTCCGGTCAACAGTTCTATCTACTGAGATCAGGGTCTCCCCGTACCAAGAATGGATGAGGGGGAGAAGTTTTAGATACTGAACAATAGCTTTGCCTTGTGGGGCTACTATATTTTAAAGGCAGCCTTGTTAATCCACCTCTCTCTCCCCAAATTAAACAATCCCAAAACCACAATTTTCTCCAGGGAACCCAGACTGAGAATAAGATATTTGCCCTTTTTGCATCTGATCATTAGCTTTTTCAGGTGGTGAGCAAGAGCTTATTGTTGGCATGTGCTATATTCCAAGGTGGAAGGAACAATTTCTACCTAACATTCCATATCATCTGAATCATATTGGTCTGAGATTAAGAAGTGTCCTCCATCCTTACAAGGAGAAAGGGAGGTGGACACTTAGCAAGCCCCACAGGACTGCAGAGCTTCAGTGAACAATACTCTGATTTCCATTTGGGATAGAAGGGGATCATGAGGCATCATGCCCCAGCTTCCTCTCTTTCTGATTGCTCTCACTTTGGAAGGCACAGTTCAAGAACGCCATACACTCTGACTATATAGTTCCTGTAACTATCTGCAGAGGGCACACACCTGCAAGAACAGGAGAAGCCCTGCCACTAGTGGTTGCTGGTTTGGTTTCTCCACTACTGTACTGTTCGCTACAAGAATAAGAAGAGGGGTCCAATGGAGCTTGAGCTAGTCTTTTATCAGTGGAGGAGGAAACCTTTCCTTTATTTTCCCTGTCAAGGATCTTTGCCCCCAGTCGCCTTTCTGCCCCTCATCAAAACCAAGAGCTCTGTGCTGACAGCTTAGAGTGCATCTGCAGGCAGAAGAACTACAGCTTATAAATTATCCCCCAAGTCCCTGCTAATTTACCCCTGACCACTTTCCTAGGAGCTAGGTATGTGAAGGAGCCAATTTCTAGGGTTGCTGATGCTTGACCAGTTCCTGTGTTTGATTCCTGCTCCCTGATGAAGGAGGGTGAATCTTTCTGCAGAAGCCTCTACTGTTAGAACTGCTCCTGCCTCCAGGAAAGCAGGAAGTGTGGTCCTCCTTGGCCTTGAGAGAGAGAGATTATACCAGAGGTATTTCCAGAAAACTTATGGGGGGCTTCTCCAGACCTCCCTAAGTTCTTTGCTAAAACCACTATCCTTTCTCAGCATGGGAGCTCAGACTTTTTCCAAGCAAAGACAGAACCTGTACTTTTTTCCCCAACACAGACCCATCCTTTTTCCTGGAGAAGTCTAAGGCCTGGTGTACATTAGGATATTAGGTCAGGATAACAACATTGGAAAGGGATATGAAAAATCCACACCCCTGAGCAACACAGTTAAAACGCCCTAACCCCAGGGGTAGACAGCACTAGGTCAAAGGGAAACTTCTCACATTGACATAGCTACTGCCTCTCAGGGAGGGGAGTACATACGCCGATGAGGGAATCACTCCCATTGGTGTAGGCAGAGTGTTCACTGAAACGCTGCTGCTACACCGCTGTTGCATTTTAAGTGTAGCCAAGCCCTTAGACAGGGGAAGCACTAGGGCTAAGCATACACTGGACCTGTACCCTCTTTTCCTTAACTCTTCCTTACCCTGGGTGGCATAGCTAGTGTTGTGAAAGGGACTGCCTGAGTAAATAGGTAGGCAGCTGGTTGAAGGGGTGTCTGAGCACCCCTTGCCACCTTAAAGGGACCAAGTCCTAAGGTATTGGGGTGTTTTTATAGGCCTTCCTAATTTCCTCCTCTCTTCATGAGGAGAGACGCTTCTCTGCTTAAACTAAATCTGAGCCACCTCTGCATTTCAGTCAGGTAAGGCACACTAGACTTAGCTGGTGCCTGGCATTGAACCTGGTTATGGTCAGTTACACTGGCCACCTATTAAGGGAAAATTCAGTATACATGAACTGTGGGCCACAGTCTGTCAGTGTGTCAAGTGTGCTGCTAGGGCAGATGGACAACGAAGTGTGTAACAGGAGCTGCTTAAGTCCTCAAAGGCCTATTTCCTACTTCTAGCAGAAACTTGGTAGAGACAATGGTCTCCACCTGCTCAACACAAACAAATGATACCACCAATCAAGTAAGCAATATTAGCAGTAGAATGACTATACCTAAACAGGTGAGGAATCTGTGCGAAGCCAAGCAGAAACAACTAAGATGTTTGTACACCAAATGCAAGGAGCGTCGGTAAAAAAATGGAGGTACTAGAATAACTGGTGGAAGGGGAAACAGATATTATAGAGATAGCAGAAACATGGTAGAACAGTAGTTATAACTGGAGTAAAGGTATTGAAGGGTATGTGCTCTTTAGGAAAGACAGAAATAAAGGTAAAGATGGTGGAGTAGCATTGTATATTAATGATGAGTAGACTGTAAAGAAATTAGAAATGACGGAATGGATAAAAACAAACAGTCTGTTTGTGTCAAAATTCCAAACTACAGAAGATTAGATGGGATCTATTTTTATCTTTCTATCTTCAGTTGCACTAATTTTTTCAAATTCAGTCGATCACAAGTTAAAATAACTACCGTATATACTTGTTCATAAGCTGAATTTTTTTTAGTAAAAAAGGAAAGCACCAGAGAAAGGGATTAGCTTATGAACGGGTATAGAGACGGAGAGGTGGGACACAGCCCCTCCCCCCAACAGAGGGAGCAAGGAGACGCAGCACAGCCAGCAGAGCCAGAAGGAAAGAGGCAGGGCCAGAGTTTCTGCTTCTGGCCACGCTGCTCTCCCCCCAGCCTCTGAAGCAGCTGCAGTTCCGGGGCTGGCACGCTGCGGCCGTGCCGCCGCCGGAGCAACTCCAGCCAGGCCAGAGGCATCCTCCCATGGCCCTCCCCAGATAAGGTGGGAAGGGATGGGATGGGGAGAGCGTGGGGGTCCCGGGCTAGGGGTGGGGTCATGTGGGGGGTGGTCACAGGGGTCACTCCCCTGACCCCCAGCTTCTCCCCCCCCCCAAAAAATCTCCCCATCAGTTGCTGTCCCGGCCCATCAGGGTAAGCAGCTGGCGCGCCGGGACATTTTGTTTACTTAGGTTTACATCCATGCCTGCAGACACTCCAGGTAAACAAACCATGATGGCCTTGGAACCAAAGTTTGCTGACCCCTGAATTATAGGGTTGGCTTATGAACAGGTCATAAAAAAATATTCCATTTTTACTTATCTTAGTAAACAAACTTAGCTTATAAACAAACCAGCTTATGATCGAGTATATACGGTATATACATAACTTTCTCAGGAAGAGCGACTAGGCCTGGTAAAGCCTGATAAATAGTATTTCAGAATGATCAAATAAAACCATTTAAGAAGCAGAACAGTATATATTACAGTATATATAATTATCACAATAGTATCAAAGTATAATATAATGGAGAAGTTGGTTGTGATTTCATAGCTCATGTTGGATTTAAACTTCCATTTTAAGACCCATTTTCAATATCCCTCTAACTTTATATGCTTAAATTAGGTTTGAAGTAGAATTCTTCTACAGATTTAGAAGTCTACAATTAAAAACTGAAATTGTAAGAGAGCAAAAGTTAAGAGTTTCATGACTGTAGACATACACCACATTACTTAGAAATTGAGAATGCTAGAAAAAAAAAATATTTGCAGCGTGGTTGTAGCCCTGTTAGTCCCAGGATAGGAGAGAGAGATATGGACGAAACCACTGTGGAATGGGCCACCTGAATATTCTGAGAAACTCTACTTCCCCCCACCCACACCTACTGCACATGCCTAGCACCTCTCCTATCACCCCACATTAGAACCCATATGGAATTTCACAAAAAAATTGCCACCCATACTTGATGGAGACCACACCCTGAAAGAAATTTTTCCTGAATACCCTCTTCTGGCCTTGAAACAATCCCCCATCCTTGTCATCATCAGAAACAAGTTCCCCACATAAGAGGACAGTCCAACTCAAAATGGCGCCAGACCCTGACATAACAGATTCAAAACATGCAGACATATCTCCACTGGTATGATGATCAACCACCCCCCCCCCCCACCAGACCCGTCAAGATCCCTGGGTCTTATACATGTCTATCACAACATGCATCAAATACCACAAAAACAAATATGTGAGTGAAACCAGAGAATCACTACACTCTTGAATAAACTTCCACAAAACAAAAACACCCTATCAACTCAAGGGCGAACACTTTTCACAAAATGATCATTCCATATCTGATTTCTCTGTCCTCATCCTCAAAAGAAACCTGCACAACACCTTCAAAAGATGTGCCTGGGAACTTAAATTTATAACTTTGCTAGACACTAAAATCATGGACTCAATAGACACCAGTTTTATGTCTCATTGCAACAGTCTAAGGGCATAGCTACATTAGAGAGTTTACAGTGGTGCAGCTGCACCGATTAAACAGATCTTCATTAGTTGCTTATCAATTAAAGTTTCCTTATATGAATAACTAAAGTTTTGAGTGCTAAGAACTTAACTGCATTCCAATCTGCCATGAGTTGGAGGGTGACAGATTTGGGTGGGTCATAAGGGAGCACAGAGGGAAGCCTCAAGCTATATTACTCTGGCACCTTAAGGATATGACTGGGATATACTAAGGTCTAAGCACAGAGATCTCCTTTTGCAAACATTAAAAGAGGAATGATTGTGAATTGAGGATGGGATTAAGAGGAAGCCAATGAAAGAGTTTGGCTGGAGCTGCGGAACAGAGCTGGTTCTGCATTTCCAATTCAATCTGGCTCAGGAATAGAGCCAGGGAGTTAATAAAACAATCTTATTTGCTCCAGGAAAACAGGTTGCAAGCAGGGCAGAGAAAATTTTAACTGACACAAACTTGGGGATTGGTCCTGCTTTGAGCAGGGGGTTGGACTAGATGACCTCCTGAGGTCCCTTCCAACCCTGATATTCTATGATTCAGACAGCGCTCAGCTTTTCACGTGAAACAGAAGTCTGTCACTGTATTAAATCAGAAACAAAAGGACAGGAAATTCCAAAACAAAACTAAAGTTACAGTTAAGGTTGCAAAGCACCATTGTGAAGTATCAATGAACACATCTGTGTTAAGAGCCAACCTATACACATTAAAAATTATGGAAATAGGCTAAACACCCTATGCACATACAGACCATAGAATAGAAACATTCTCAATCACCAGCATCCAAATCACCTTAACTCTGCCCTTGCAAGTGTTTATTTGTTTTTTAAACAGAGGAAGGGTTAAGGTTATGTAGATGTTGGTGACTAAGCCCTGGTCTACAATAGGAAATTTGGTCAGCATAACTTTTGCTTGGGGTGTGAAAAATTCACACTCCTGAATGCCACAATTAAACCCACCTAACCCTCAGTGTAGACAGCACCAGGGCAATAGAAGAATTCTACTGTCAACCTAGCTACAGCCTCTTGGAGAGATGGACTACCTATCCTGACAAGAGAAGCCCTCCTATCAGCATAGGCAGAATCTTCGCTGCAGTATTTTAAGCATAGACATGCCCTGAGTTTTTTTGTTTTATTTTATTTTAATACCAGGGTGAATAAAAATCAATGATTTAAAAAAAAATTTTATTTTTATTTAAATTGGATTTTTTTTTTGATAAAAAGGTTTTTTCCTCAAAAAGCAATCTAAAGATAGTTTTAATTAAGATACATTATAGCTCAAAGATATCTTATCATAGAATAGGGATTATAAATTCTAATTCTATAGTATGAGACAATATATTCATGTCATGTTTAAGGAAAGTTTTGTAAATAAGTTCCAATAGTTCACGGATTAGGGCCCCAATCTTATGGGGTTCCAGGAGCTTCTGTATTGCTGATGATGTTTTAAAGAAAGTCACACCAGTGAACTGGTGGAAGTCACTTAAGATTCACTTGGATTCAGAGACTGTTGAAGTGATAATCTCACTTTTAACAGCAGTAACTTCTGCCGGTGTAGAAAGAATATTTTCTTCCTTTGGACCATGGGTGGCAAACCTGAGCCTGAGAAGCAGCCAGAATTTATCAACGTACATTGCCAAAGAGCCACAGTAATACGTCAGCAGTCCCCCATCAGCTCCCGCCTCCAACCCACCAGCAGCCCCACCAATCAGTGCCTCCCCTCCTTCCCTGTACCTCCCGATCAGCTGTTTCATGATGTGCAGGAGGCTCTGGGGGGGGAGGAGGGAGGAGCAAGGGCACAGCAAGCTCAGGGGAGGGTGCAGGAAGGGGTGGAGTGGGGGCATGGCCTGTGGCAGAGCCAGGGGCTGAGCAGAGAGCACCCTCCAGCACACTGGAAAGTTGGCGTCTGTAGCTCCAGCCACGGTGCCTATACAAGGAGCCGCATATTAACTTCTGAAGAGCCACATGTGGCTCCGGAGCCACAGGTTGGCCACCTCTGCTTTTGACTAAGTCATTCCAAATTGAGAAATCATTTGGGACTTGAAAAAGCAGGAAAGCTTGTTTTTCTTTTCCAGATTATGAACAAATAGGAAAATGAAGGCGAAGACGACGGAGTTAGCTGCAGAAGCCAATATTTTAAGTTTCTCATGTTGACCTGGCTGACAGTCTATTTAATTTTTTTTAATATTTCATTTAACTATTTTAGTTAAACAATTTTAACAAAAACAAACCTGATTTTAAAAACTTGAATGTTTAACCAAATTCAAAAATTAATATGCTTGTTTTGTTAAAATGTGTTTGCCGTTTAAGAAAAAAAATGCAGAATACATAACGTTGTTGTTTTAGTTAAATGTCTGTCTGGTGATGTTCTCCTCCTAAAACAAAATGGCAAGAAAATCCTCCAAATATTAATGATTATCCTATTGAATTGGAGATAGTTCACCTACCAAAGACTTCATAAATGTCTGCACTTCAATTACCTTTGGTAAATGAAATAACCAATCATTCATTTTCTGATATAGCTGTAAAACTAATCAGAAAAGTTTTCAAAATAAATCACTTTAAAAATGTATAGTGTGTACCTTCTAAAAATGAAACCTACATCTATCTCTGAGTTGTGAAGAATATGTATTAAGGTTATAACAACCAACATGAATGTACTTTTATGTAGAAATCCATGATTAAATCGAGTCTTTCCGACTAGTGATTTAAATCAAATCCACCCTGTTTAACACGTTGATGTTTTTAATGTTATGTCTTCTCTTGAACTGCTCTTACTTTTTTGTGTTTTGGAATTTACAAATTACTTGAAATGCAATCATTTGAGAGAAGCTTGAAGGACTTAAGAAGAAAGTTGTCTACATAGTACCTACAGACTACAGAAAATAAAATATTACAGTAACTCACCCAGGAAGTAATGAAGCATGAAATAAAGATCAGAACATCACTATTAGAAGACACAAGAATAACATGATAGAATTTGAAGTGATAATGACACTTATTTGTTGGACAGAAGATTTGAGATAATTCAAGATCTAGAAATCAGCCAGCGTGCAGATATTAGGTAGAAACAGAAACCATGTGTATGCCAAAATTTCAATCCACTCTCACTTTTGGTAAGCACTCCGGAAAACTAAGGAATTAAAGCTGCTTTATTTCTTCCTCGATAGGTCTTTATTGCTCTAGACAAATCCTTAGAGTCAGTCTCTCACAACAATAACTCATTTAGCTGATTACAAAGAATACATACTACTTAAGGTTACTTGTATTTTATTTACACCCCTATCATCTAGGGTAATTATGCAACAACTCATTTAAGTATATAGAATATAATGCTTTACCACAACCTCTGTTAGTTTGTTTTGGTTTGTTTAAAGTAGTCAAATTGAACTTGAATACCTAGATTATTATACCTAGAATTCATCAAGCCTGGAGCAAGCAAGAAAAAGAGAAGGTAATTCAGGATTTTTCATTTAGACCATTATTTCTACAAGAGTACGTTATAAGTAGTCCAATGTTTCAGAAGAAAATTGGAATTTAAAAATAACCCTAAGAATAGCATTCACACTCCATAATTTCCACTTTTATCAAACTTTAAAAGACAAAAACCTTTAAACCCGTATTTATCTCTGGATTCCTGACCTGAAATTTAAGTTAAATTTAACAGGATATCTTCAGATCATCCCCAATTCTTTCTATATTATGGCTTAAACACATCCACACATCACTGTGTCAAATAAAGTGCTTACCCATCAGTTTCAAAAGAACATTCCAAATATAAAATGATGCATTTTGTCTTCCTACATCTACTGACACTCTAAAAGCAGAATGTAGCAAATTACCCAAGGGCCAAATCCTGGACCCAAAACACAGCCCAAACAAACAGACCATGGGTTGGGGAGAAGTGTTATCCCAGGTTTCAAGTTTTTTCCAATATGTTCACCATATCTTAACAGAGACTGACTAGTTGGCCACCTTCCCTCCCATTTGCAATTGCAAAGATCACCTCACTTCCCCGTTGGCACCTACACCAAATAAAATCTCTGAACACAGTAATTGTTTATATAGGAAATATTAGTATTAACATTATAATAGCACTCACCAGACCCATTATGTTGGGTGCTATGCAAATACATATTAAAAAAAACACTCTGGCCCTAAAGAACATATTGTTCTATGCTCTGATCTTGCTCAGTTTCACATGTTAGCAACTTTCCTCATATAAGCAGTCCTGCTGAAGCAGATTACAACAAAAACACAAGTGGCTTTAAGAAATTAAAGGAAACAGAAGGGAAGACAAGGATAGGAATGCACAGCTATAGTTAGCCATATGACAAACCAAACTCCAACCCAGAAGTAATTTTTTTTATTTTAAACAAGGAATATTCATAGCATCAGTATTTCCTACTGACCACCAGTCCGGCTATTGTCTGTCAGAAAGTATAATGTTCTGTGTAACTGCAAGTCTACCTCTGCTCCAGAACCTTCCTGTTCAACAGCTGACCTCCGCTGAATATAAGGAGTGCCTAGACTTTTGCTGTGACACATCAGGAACAAATTTACTCCATAGTTCTTCACTTCCCTTCTCTGGGGAAGAGAATATGAAGTAAGACTCACTAAGCAGGAGGTCTCAGGATCAGCATCAGTGGTCCATGAAACCAGTACTATTTTGCAGAGAGGGCCACCTGGTAACAAGTCTGTGATTGAGCAAACACACCAAGTGTCAAGTGTATTGCATAAAGGTGTATAGAAACAAAACCTCTTTCAGATGAACTTACTGCTGGACTGGAGTCATCATCTCCTATATGACTTCCCTTTCATTCCCCTGATATTCAACGTATACCTGCGATTGGCCTGGGTCAGATGACTCTGGCTTCCTGGGGGTTGGGCTGTGGGACTAAAAATTGCTGTGCAGATGTTTGGGCCTGAACTGGATCCCAAGCTCTGGGACCCCACGAGATTGGGTCAGCCACAGGTCTTTTATTCCAGGGTAAATGTATGGTCAGAGTCGTAAGAATGGACAGAACAAACTCATTAACAGCCCCACTGTGGCCTTGTCTGCACTGGTATCCAGATCTCCTGCAGGTGGCCAGAGAACCACCATATCCACTGCTTTTGTTCCCAGATCTCCTGTCTCAACAGAAAAGGAGGATTCTGCATTCCAGCCTAGACACACTCCAGTTTGCAGTGTTGAGGATAATATGCCGACTAATGTTGACCACATCTGCTCTCAGAGGCAGAAACCTCTCAAGCCATCCTCTTACAATCCAGGAAGGTTTCCACCCTAAAATGTTGTCTGTTCCCTCCACCCCTCAAAAAGGAAACGGTTTACTATCTGTGTCACTGGTAAAGGACTTGCTCCATCTCAACTGGAGTCTCTGCAGTCCTAGAATACTAATGTTTTCACCCTTTACAACTGAAGTCTGAAGGCATAACCTTCCTAAAGGTCTATATAGCAGCAATATCTGCTCATGACAATTATGTTGTCTCTCATCCTACAATCTTCAAATTCCTTAATGGCACAGTGAAATTGTTTACCTTTATTAGGGAGCCCATGGTTTCACAGGGCCTAAATACTGTCCTATCAAAGCTGATGGGCCTCTCATTATAAGCCTCTGGCACAAACCTCTCAACATCAAAATGGCATGCTCATACCAATTACATTTTCTAGGAGTGTGAGTTAGTACTTTGTAGCCCATTCCACTTTACACTGTGGTTCCTAGGAGACCCCATCCAAGCTTCACACCTCAAATGGATTCAGATTTCCACCTCTCTCAATATATTTCCCTCCCCATGTTTTTACCCAGATTCCATTCCCACTCAGGAAGATTATCTCCATTTCCTAGATGTAAAAAGGTTCTCTGTTTTTACTTGGGAAAAAAAAATCGTTAGAAAATCAAATAGATTGTTTATAGCATATGGGGACAGATGTCAGGGATAATCCCTTATGAAACAGACTCTCACTGGATTAGATGTATAGAACATTACCAGTATATTTTATCTTTAAAACCAGTAATCCATGGTTTAAACCTCACCAAGACCTCCCACATTATCAGTGGCATCTCTTAGGCAGGTTCCTCTTATGGAGATAAGCAAAGCAGAAACTTGGAGTTCAGTTCATCGTTTCACCAGATGCTTACTACTCCTTGGATTTAGCATGGCACTACAATTACCAGTTTAGGAGAGCGGTGCTATTGTCCATATTTAGCTAAAAACTCCTAGCCCACCATCATCTTGGTGGAGTACCGCTTATGGGAGGCCCTCAAAGAAGAAAAGTCACTTAATAACAGTTGCTCAAAGAAGGGCTGTGTGTATTCACCATATTGGCCCACCTTTACCTCTACTTCAAAGTTCTACATATCACCACAATTTGGCAGTCAGGGAGAAGGAACTCTAAGGCGATTGCAGTGCACTCCCTTAGACAGAAGAGCAATAACATCACCCTCACAAAAGATCCCTCAAGAACCCTTTAACTGACATGGCTTTTCAAGGGAGTTCGGCGGCCTGGTATCTGGGGAGCCATATCCTACAAGTGGGACTACGCTGAGGCCCTGGAAGAAGAAAGCCGGGCTTGCCCTAGGGCACTGCTTTACATCGGAGCAGTGCATCAACACTGGATGTGTTGCATTGGCATAGTACCAGCAGTACAAAAATCCCTAATGTAGCCAAACCTTTAATCTTTAACCTTCTTGAATGAAGAGCCTAGGTATGAGCCTAAAACTCTAACCAATGTTCCAAAGCAAACTATTAAGGAACTCTGATATAGGGCCCTATTTTCAAAACTCAAGTTCTAAGTTATATATACAAAATGTGTTTGCATGTGCGAATGTATGTTTCACATAAAAGAAAGTTTGTGATAAATTATACACATCACAAAAAACACAAATTGGGAAAATAATTACAATCAATTTTTCAACAGGTTAAATATAAAATATGTAATTGCTTGACAGAGCTTTGAAATACAGCAAAGATTCAAATTACCCGAGCAGAGGTTCATGTCCTCCAACAGTTTCAAATACTTTGCTCTATCAGTCTCCCCTGCTTCTGCAGAGGAGTGGTTCTCCTTTAAAAACAGAGCCATACCCCTACACCTCCCGCCCCCTTCACTATGGCTAACCAGTTGGCTTCATTAAGGCTTCAACACATTAAAATTTATGTTTGTAGTGTACAAAAAGCAGCAGGCACCCACACATGTGAAAATTTCGGTTTGTGACTTGCTGGTTTTCTGAGGATATTAAGACTAAATCTAGTTTGACACACCCACAAAAACGCCACTGAACAGCACAGAAAGACAAAATTCAACTATTGTAGAATCCAGGGCAGAGGCAAAACACCACCGCTAACAAGGTCTGAGGTGTTAAATCATATTAGTTGGGAATCCCAGGCAATGACCTTAAGAGCTTTAGCAGCAAATAATGGTTTTGCTATGAGTTTACTGGATTTGTCAGGGATCAGTAAGTGAACCACCATATAGCTGACAAATCCACTTCCAAGACAAATATATAATGACAGGGAATAAAGAGGACACTGGTCCAAGCTTTGGGACTTTATATTCAGTCCATCACTAGTTGCAAGAAAGCAATGGTGAATTCATCAGTGACTATTAGCATCAGACATCTCATTAACCATTAAAGCTACAAATGCCTAATCCTACTGACTTGTTTATATCCAGCTTCTCACTACTGCAGGGTGTTTCTAGTACTAGCAGATCCTA